TATGTATTTTAATTTTGGCTTAACTTAGTACATCTACCTCCCCTCATTTCTCTTTCTTAAACTGATATTTTTTCACATTATTTTACATTTTCATTACTTTTTTGCATATCTTCATGTTTGTATTTCTTTGTAAATGCTTATCTATACTAGTAATGTTTTTTTTTTCTTTTTTAATGATTCTTTATCCACCATAGCAAATTTGCTATATACCTGCACTATTTTTTTTACCTACATTGACAATTCTATAGGTATAGGAATCTATACTTACAATTTACTAATTTGTATGTATATGGTCTAAATATACTTACATATTTATATATACTGTAGGAAAAAATGTATATCTATAAAAATGACTTCGTGTAGGTAAAAAAAAAAAAAATCCTTATACCTACAATTAAGAGCAATTATAGATATAACTGTAGCCTGTACCTATTAATTTTCAAAATCTATAGCTATAGTTCATTAAAAAAAATTGTCTAGTTCACAAAAGTACTAAAAGTTAAACCCCAAATTTGGTGTACGAAACTCTAAATTTTATATGCCTTATCCTCTCCTCTCTATTATTCTTTCTTATTTAGTAATTGCATATATGTCTTGCTATCATTTTATACCCTTTTTTTTGCTTCCTCTCTCTGCCTGCTATATAATTAGAAATATTTTCAAATCAAAACAAAACATGCAAAACTTCTTAGATATTCTCTTGGTACTTAATTTTTCACTTACCTTTAATCCACCTTTCTTTAATTTTTGTTGAGACTCCATCTGTCAACTTTCTCTCAAATTTTATATACTAATATTTAATTCTTTACCCTACACGTTATTCTTTGTTTTATTATACCCTCATCTCTCCCATTCTTTCTTAGATCTATTATTATATGTCTTATTTCGACCCTTTTTTTTTGTACTTCAACAATATGTTTTTATTAGAAAAATTTTATATCAAAACATCAAAACACACAACTTCTTAATATTATTCTTCTAGTACTTTTTCACTTGCTTTTACTCCACTTCTATCATTATTTTTCTTGAAATTCTACATCTTAGCTTCCCCTTACATTCTATCATCATATTCTCTCTACAATACATCTCCCTTACCTTCTTTCCCTCTCTATACTAATAATTTATTTGTTATTATCCTTTCATCTCCCTTTCTTTTTATATTATTCTTTCTTGGTCACTCATTGCATCTTCATATATCATTATATATGTCTTTCCTACCCTATATTAGAAATGTTTTGAGGCCAAAACATGTGGTGTAATTCTTGAACATTATTTTCCAGTTCTTTTTCACTTATTTTTATTATTATTATAAAAATCTATTATATTATTTTATATATTTGAAAATTTTTGTCAAAACATAAAAGGCACAAGCAACTTCTTAACATTATTATCTCGGTACATATTCACTTGCTTACATCACCTTTTATTACACTTCTTGGGCTTCATTTCTTACCATAATCTTCATATTTTATCATTACATACATTTTTATCTTATATTAGCTTTAATTTTCTCTCTCCATATTAATAATTTATTGCTTCTTTAACGTACCTTATGTTTCGCTATAATTTTTTTATCACCAAATCTTTTCTTCTATATTCTTTTTTTTTTTTTTTTAATCTTAGATAGCACAATGGAAAGCAACTTTTTCCACTCCCTTGACCCACCCTTTTCACTTACTATGCGACTCAAATTTAAAACCTTTTACTTCTAATGAAAAAAGATTATTATTAAGTTAAGTTGTTGACAATTATATTATTCTTTCTAAGTCACTCTTTGTATCTCCGGTTATCATTATATATCTTTTTTTGCTCTAATTTCCTTCTCTCTCATTGTTTATATTAGAAATGTTTTAGGTTAAGACAATGGCTACAACTTCCTTTCACTTACCTTTATGCCTCAAGGGTCAAAGTACCTCTTGTACTTCTTCAAAAGTTATTTTCAACTATTAACATCATAATCCTACTTTCGATTCTCTTTTTCTATATTTTTTTTCTTTTTCTAATAGGAGAAATGCAATATTAATAGTTTAATAAAAATCTTAACAAAACTTCAATACAAAATTTACAACTTTTCATATAGTACTTGATAAGTTGAATTATTGTTTATAATATGACGCTAATTAAACCTTGATTTTATTATTATTTGAATGGATTTAATATGATTTTACTCAATTTTCCATTATTTTTATTATTTGTGTAGAATATGACTTAACTTTTAAAAATCATAAATTTGGAACTAAATAATTATATTTCACAAAGTAAAAGAATGAACAAACAGATGAAATTAAGGACCAAAATGTAGAATTCTAAAATTAAACAAATCATAAAATTCTGGAATTTAAGGACCGAAGTTTTAAAATTTTAAAAATCAGTGACTAACACTATAATATTACCAATAAAAAAAGAAACAAAAGTTAACAATGGAATTATGTGTCTGGCGGGCGGCAGCTCTTCTCGCTTACTTTTTTCCTTTTCTCTGTTTATCTATATAATTGTAGCCCTATTATTATATAATTAGAAATATATTAAAAAAATATTATATCAACTCCTATAACAAGAAAGTGAGAATAAAATTAATGAAAAATTAAATTCTATTAATGTTGGATTTGTGTTACTTTCAATATGTATAGATTTTTTAAAAAACTTAAGATTATTTATTAAAGATTTTTCTAAGCTTATTGTGTATTTATTGAGGATTTTTTTAAGTTTAATTGGCATTTATTTAAGTACTTTAAAAGAAATTTTGTTATTATAACAATCTTTTATATAATTAAGATTAAGAGCTGTTTGGTACAGCATTTAAAATTCAACGAATAATAAATAATGAATAACGGATAACAAATAATGATAGCAAGTTATGATTAACAGATAGTGGATGACAAATAGCACTAAAATGAATAACGGATGTTAAATAGCGAATTCAATAAATATAACCGTTCTTATTTAACACTAAATGACTAATAAAAACATGTTTAAAAACAAATATATATTTT